ATAGATGTTACAGTGGAAAAAATTGATGAAACAGTTAAGGAAATGAAGGGGCAGATGAAAGATATGATAAAACGGACGCAAAATCTGGAAGAAGGGGCCAAAAAAGTTAAAACGGAAGTCAAGGAGATTAAAAAGCAAGAAGAGAAAATTAAAGCAGAAGTAGCTGAAGTTAATAAGACACAAGAAGAACTTTGGGATGCTATTGCGATGAATGAACTGAGACAGAAGGAGAATAATTTGAGACTTAGACTGGTGCCAGAAGCCCAAGGAGAAGAGATAAAGGAGAAATTGTAAGAGAAATTGCTATATGGTTGGAGATGCAGGAAGAGGACGTTGCAATGCCAGTACAAAATGCTTTCAGAATTAAAGTGAGAACAACGAAGGCTAAGAAATTTCCAGGAGACTGTTTGGTTATATTTAAAGATCGAGAAATGAGAAATTTAATTTTACAATAGAATAGGGAGAAAAGATTGAACATTGATGGAGCCAACATAATTATTTTTAAAGCCGTCCCACTTCGGCTGTTAAAAAAACGGAAACAATACCAACAGCTGGTGCAAGCTCTGAGGAAATACAAAATTGAGTTCAGATGAGAATTCCCAGAAGGAGTCTCATTTGCATATAAAGGAAAGAAACACAGGATAACAAGATTGGACGAAATGGACAAATTTTTAAGAAGATATAAAGAGCTGGGAAGAGAAGAAGAAGGAGCAGCACTGGCAGAAGCAGGAGCTGGAGGAGGAGCTTCACAAGAATCAGAGGAAGAGGGAGAGGAGGGAGAAGAAAGGGAGGAGAAATAAAATTTAAAGACTTATATTTTAAAATTAATAAGAATTCAATATGGCGTTGAAATTATGGTCTTGGAATGTTAAAGGTTTGAACGAGAAAAAGAAGAGGAATAAAATTGTACACTATTAAAAAAAAAAAACTTGGACATTATTTGCTTACAAGAAACACATGTAATGAGAAAACATCGAATAATTTTAATAAATAAAAAACTAGGAAATGAATTTATTTCATCAGACAAAACTAAAAAGAGAGGAGTTGTATTATACATTAAAAACAAATTAGAAGCTCAACAAATCTTTAAAGACGAGGAGGGCAGAATTGTGGCTGTGGAAGTAAAATGGCAAGGAGAAAAATTAATAATTGTCAGAGTATATGCACCAAATGAAAATAGAATGGACTTTTTTAAAGATTTAGAAGAAAAATTATTTGAATATATGGACCAAAAGATTATCATAATGGGTGATATGAATGCAGTTGTGTCGATGGAAATGGACAGACTAAGATTTGTGGGTAAACCTAAAGAAGGAAAATTACCAAAGTCTTTTTTTTCAATGGTAGAGAATTGCAACTTAATAGACATTTGGAGATTGAAACACCCTTTAGAAAAACAATTTACTTACCAGTCAGAGGCAAACCAATCAATGTCAAGAATTGATCAGATTTGGATAACGAATGAGTTTACATCAAGAATTTTAAAGATCGAAATTCAACCAATGGTTTTATCGGATCATAACCCAATAAAATGTATATTGAAAGAATATGAAGAAAAATCCTTCCGGTGGAGACTAAATGAAAATCTTTTTGATGATCAAAAAGTTGCAGAAGAAGCACAAAACTGCTTGAAGGATTATTTTTTAAATAATATGAATCAGGGAACAAAAATAACTACAGTTTGGGACGCTAGTAAAGCAGTAATGAGAGGATTCTTTATTCAACAGAATTCAATTAAGAACAAACTAAGGGAAAAAGGGGAAAAATAAATTTTAAAGCAGATAATGGAGAATGAGAAAAAATTGGTTACTAGCCCAGGTGACAAAAAAATTAAACTCAACATCAAAGCGTTACAAGCACAATTTGCAATGATAATTAATAAAGAAGTAGAATGTAATATTAAAAGAATGAGACAAAGGAATTTTGAATTTGCAAACAAATCGGGAAAATTGCTTGCTTGGCAGATAAAAAAAAGGAAAGAGCAAAATACTATACATAGAATAATAGTGGAAAATAAAGAGATTGATGATCCGAAAGTATAAGAAAAGGATTTGTGGACTTTTATCGACAATTATACAAGAGAAAAGAAAAGGTCAATATAAAAAAAAAGAGGAATATTTAAAAGAGAAAGGGGTGCAGAAAATTCCGACAAAAGAGAGAGATAATTTAAATGAGAAGATTGAATTTGAGGAGATTAGAAATGCAATAAAGAGATGAAAACTGGAAAGACACCGGGACCAGATGGACTGAGTGTAAGATATTACAAAGAATTAAGGGACACCCTACTTGTACCTTTGAAAGAAGTTATGAATAACATTCTAGCAAACAGAGAAATACCAGAGACATGGAAAGAAGCGTACATTACTTTAATTCCCAAGCAAGACTCTGATTTAAGTCAAGTTAAAAATTTCAGACCGATCTCGCTTTTGAACAATGATTATAAGTTATTTGCAAACATATTAGCAAACAGATTGAAGAAAGTTTTGAAGGAGTTAATACATAAAGATCAGGCGGGTTTCCTGCCGGGCAGACAAATGAAGGATAATATTAGAAATATAATTAATGTGATGGAATATCTGAATGTTAAAAATGACAAACAAGCTATGTTAATATTTGTTGATGCTGAGAAGGCTTTTGATAATATTTATTGGGAATTTATGTTAAAAATGTTTGAAATGATGGGAATAGGGCAAATGTTTTTAAATGGTATTAAGGCTATATACATGGACCAAAGAGCTAAATTGATAGTTAATAATGTGACAACGGAAAATATAAAGATAACCAAGGGCACAAGACAGGGATGTCCTTTATCACCATTGTTGTTCATCGCAGTCTTAGAAGTGTTTTTAAGGGCAATCAGGAGTAATGAGCAAATTAAAGGGGTAAAGGTGGGCAGAAAAGAATATAAGGTTAAAGCTTTCGCAGATGATTTGGTATTAACCTTGGAAGATCCTATGAATACAGTATCGGAAGTATTGAAAGAAATTGATAAGTTTGGACAATTGGCAGGATTTATGTTGAATAAGAAAAAAACCCAAAGCAATTATTAAAAATACTGATCAGGAGTTAGTTAATAGATTACAGCAGCAAACTGAGATAGAAGTGGTTAAGAAAGTAAAATATTTAGGGGTTTGGTTAACCCCCAGGAGTATTGACTTGTTTCAGAACAATTATGTTCCAACATGGAATAAGATTAAAAGGGACCTTGAGGTATGGGGAAGAATGAAACTTTCTTTTTGGGGAAGAATTACAACGATAAAAATGAATGTGCTACCGAAGATGTTATTTCTATTCCAAACAGTTCCAGTAATCAAGGGGGCAGCAATTTTTTAAAAGTGGCAAAGAGAAATTTCAAGGTATATCTGGCAGGGTAAGAAGCCGAGGATAAAATTTAAGATTTTAACAGATGCAAAAGAAAGAGGAGGCTTCACCCTGCCAGACCTGAAATTATATTATGAAGCATCTTGCCTCTGTTGGTTAAAGGAATGGATAAAATTACAAGATACGGATGTGTTAGACTTAGAAGTTTTTGATAATAGATTTGGATGGCACACGTATTTGTGGTATGATAAGAAACGGGTCCACAAGGTTTTGAAAATCATATTATAAGAAGGTCCTTGATTGAAGTATGGGAAAGATATAAAAATCTGTTGGAACAAAAAACTCCTTATTGGTTATCACCGCTGGAAGCGATGAGCGTGAAGAAAGTCAATATGGCAGGGGGTTGGGTAACATATGAGAAATTGATATGTAAAAGTGAAGGAAAATGGAAAATGAGACCATTTGAAGAAGTTAAGAATTATGTGAATGACTGGCTGCATTTTTTTCAAATTAATGAGATGTTTAGAAAAGATTTAAATGAAAGGGGCTTTGCTGATAAAGAATCCAAATTTCAGACTGACATATTAAATAATGACTGTAAGATCTTAGCAAAAATGTATAAGATATTGCTGGAATGGTATACGAAGGATGAGGAGGTAAAATCTGTGATGATTGATTGGGCCAAAGATATAGGACATAATATACAAATGGAGGAATGGGATAGACTGTGGAAAGATGGTTTAAGATTCACTGCATGTACTGCTATAAAAGAAAATGTTATGAAGATGATGTATCGATGGTATATAACCCCCGTAAAGTTAGCAAAAATATATAAGATAAGTAACAAATGTTGGAAATGTAAAGAAAAGGAAGGCACTTTCTTTCATATGTGGTGGGAGTGTAAGAAGGTAAAATGCTTCTGGGAAATGATTTATAATGAATTGAAGAAAATGTTGAAATATACATTTACTAAGAAACCAGAAGCGTTTTTACTTGGTATTACAGGGAATGAGATAAACAAGAAAGAGAAGAAGTTATTTTTATATGCAGTGACTGCAGCAAGGATATTGATGGCCCAGAAATGGAAACAAGAGGAGCTGCCTACGATAGAAGATTGGAGACTATGTGGACTATGTGGAATTGGACAGAATGACAGGAAGGATTCGGAATCGACGAGATCAAAGATTTACAGAAGATTGGGAGAAGTTTATTCAATATTTGCAAAAACTAAGTGATAACCAGATTACGTTTGTAAGCTTTAAGGAAGCTCTGTGATGTGAAAATCTAATAATACTGTAAGTATAAATAATGAATTGAAGCTACCAGAATAAATAACAATAAGTAGGATTGTGTTAAAAGTTATAAAATGAAGGAAGTTCAGACAAATTGAGGGAAGTCAAAAGAATGGAATTAAGAGGTAATTAAGAAGTTCGAATGTACAACTTTGTTTTCTTTTTTGTATTTGTAAACCAATAAAAATATAAATGTAAAAAAAAAAAAGACTTGGTGGAACGCTCTGTCACAAGAGAATAGAGCCCTGCGGGACTTGACATATTCCCACAGGGCCTGCAAGACAGAGCTGTTCTGCCTGGCCTTTGGTTTGTACTCAGTCTGACCCTTATGTTACCCTACCCTTACGGTTTTGATGTATGGGCTACTTTTAAAATGCAGGAATCTTTTGCCCAACGTGGGGCTCGAAGCTATGACCTTGAGATTAAGAGTCTCATGCTCTACTGACTGAGCTATCCCATCAAATCCCATCAGACTCCAGATCCCATCAGCCCCAGCCAGTATGGCCAACAGTCAAGGTCGATGGAAGCTGCAGTCCAAACAATATCTGAAGGGCCACAGGTTGTCTACCCCTGCAATACACAAATACACACTTAGCTCAGAGTCAGTCCCAAAGAACTTAATGGGAATTTCTAGACTCAAATAGAGTTTCACTGCAAATTATTTAAGTGTGTCCATGGGTAGAGACACTGAATTTCCTTTTAGGGGAATAAATAGGAAGTCTCTTTCTTTCTTTCTTTCTTTCTTTCTTTCTTTCTTTCTTTCTTTCTTTCTTTCTTTCTTTCTTTCTTTCTAAAAAAATTACACATCAAAATCCGGTTAACTGAAGCTGGGAAGTTATATTAAGGGATGAATGCTGGATGAAGTAGAATCAGCCTACATGTAACTAGATAAGCCCGGCTCTCTCAATTGACCATTTCAGTAAGTTACAGCTGTCACCAAGGCCTGATATATCCCAGCGAACATTCAGATGGGCTATAATGCCATTTGGCCGGTTTCAGTTTACAGCCGCGCTGAGCCCGTCGCATGCATCCTGCAGTCAAAGGCAAACCAAATCATACATCCCAAGCCATCAAACTACGTGTTGCAATCGCTCTTACCCGCTCCCTTCCATCACCTCTACCCAGCCCACCCTCTCCAGGACGCTTTCAAATTGATTTCCGAGGAGAACCTTGCTTTCACGTTGAAAGACATTTACCGTATTGGGGGATAAAAATAGTGCTTGAGGACTGAGAGGTGGTGGCGGCGGCAAGGACTGGCCTTTATGTGTGCGGAGAGGGATTATTAATTTTAATTTTGTTTTTACCTTCATCTCGGCAGGAATTATTTCAGCCAAACAGGAATTAATAAATGATCTGGTCATAAACAATTCATCATTTTCTCTCCCCCCATATATATATGCATTTCTTGTGAATTACTCTTAGAAAGGAAGTCAAAAATACTTTTTAAAAGGGCACACACAGAATGAGTGAGCTAGGGTGAGTATATGGGGAGAGGGAGTTGAAGACTTTGCATTTAATCCAAATAAAAAGTGTGTGTGCGCTTTGGGGCACACTCTGAGCCTAGGAGTTTGTTTTCAATGTGAGAACTGAACTGAGCTAGTTTGGTAAGGGTGCTGGGAATTGTAGTGCCACGAGGGGCCAACTACATTTCCCAGGAGTCTTTGGAGGAAGTCATGTGCTTTAAACATGCCTGAAATGTAGGGCACATATGTAGTTTTAGTATTGCCTTACCAACACCATTGCAGTGGTTTCGGTCAAGGCAGTGCAAACTCTCCTTTTATATGAAATGGCATGTGTTATACAGTGGTACCTCGGGTTACATACGCTTCAGGTTACATACTGTAATGGGTTTAGGGGTTGCTCGTGTGTAAGTTGCCGCCACTCCTGGCTAGGTTACCTGGTTAACCCTTTCTGACTGAGCAGCCTCCAGCATCGTGACTGTCTCAGTCGCTGGCAGAATCCGTCAGTGGGCGTTTCTTAAACCTTTTCCAGCATAAAAGTTGTTTGACGCCAAGTCTCCTCCTACTCTCCCTGCGCGGAAGTCTTCTGCGCAGGGAGGGTGTGGGCAGCGGAGTACCCGTACTCTCTCCGCTGGTCTCCAGTGAAGAGTCTTGGAGCCTCCTCCCAGATTCCCCCACCTGCCCCCCTTCCCCACTGGTGTTACGCTGATTTCCTTCCCCAGCAGATGGGCTGCCTCTCACCCTACTGGGACCCTCTCCTGCATCCCTTTGGAGCCTTCCCTCCGCCTCTAACTCCGATGGCAGTTCCCTGACATCCACCTCCCCCCCAGGACCCCCTCCGCCCCCGGCCCGACCTTCAGATCCAACCTCGTCCCTTTCCTCGGCCAACAATGCAGGGAAGCCCCTGAAGGAGCTGTTGCTCTCCTCTGAGGATTCAAAACCCGCTTCCCACCCGCTCCAATATCTTGCCGCGGGGTGGGCCTCCCAGTCTGATTCTTCTCCCTCTGACATTTCCCCTCCTTCCTCTTCGGAGGCAGGAAAACCCACAAATTCCTCCTTGTCGTCTGTGATTCCAAACTCTTCCTCCCAGAATCTCGCTAGTGGTTTTGGTTTGTCTGGGAACAGGCTGTGGAATTCTTCCACTAGATACCCATCATTGACCGCCTCAGCGGGGACCCAAGTGTTTTCTGACTCGGGTTCTCCTTCCCAAACCACTAAGTACTCCACCTGGCGCCCTCGCCACCTAGAATCGAGTATTTCCGTGGCTTGGTGGTGACTCATCCCTCCCGCCCCTCCCTGTACGGTGAGAGTAGGGACCTATGGAACACCGGATGTATCTTCATGCTGTCAGGCAACTTGAGCTTGAATGCCACAGGGTTCACCTGCTGTGTTACCTCAAAGAGTCCCAGCCGCCTTGGCTGCAACTTCTTGCACCCTCCCTTTAGGGGCAACCCTTGGGTTGACAACCACACTCGGTCTCCCACCCGTATGGCATCCCCCTCCCGACGGTGCTTGTCTGCCTGCCTCTTATAAACTTCCTTGGCCCGCTCCAAGTTCATTTTGAGTTGCTGGTGCAATGCCTCCATTTCTTCCACAAACTGCTCGGCTGCCGGTACACTCCACCCTTCCTCCCCCCCTCCCCGGGAAGGCCCTGGGGTGACACCCATAATTGGCCATGAACGGGCTCATGCCTGTGGACACATGTTCAGCGTTATTGTACGCAAATTCAGCCAGCGATAGTTTCTCTACCCAATTGTTCTGTTTCTCGCTGACGTAGCAGCGTAGGTATTGCTGGAGTATACTGTTCACTCTTTCTGCTTGCCCGTTGGTTTCCGGGTGTCATGCAGTCTACCTGCAGCAAGCTCATGAGCTTCCTTCAGAATCGTGAAGTAAATTGTTTTCCGCGATCTGAGACGACCCTCGAGGGCGCCCCATGCAACCTGAAGATGTGATCCACAAACAACTTGGCTGTCTCCTCTGCCGTCACGGCATGTGAGCAAGCTATGAAATGGCACATTTTCGTCAGTAGATCGACTACTACCGTGACTGCTGTCTTCCCCCTTGACTTGGGCAAATCTGTCATAAAATCAATGGACACCACCTCCCAGGGTCTTCCCAGCATGGGTAAGGGTTCCAGTAGCCCTGCAGGGGCAGCCCTCTCCCCCTTTGCCCTTTGGCAGCGGTCGCACCTCCGTACATATTCCCGTACATCCTGCCTCACCCTTGGCCACCAGAACTGCCTGGTGACGAGCAGCATGGTTTTGTGCTGTCCAAAGTGCCCAGCTGTGGGGTTGTCGTGGAGTTGTTTGAGTACCTTCCCCCTCAGGGTCTCCCCCGGTACATACAGCACCCCCTTATAGTACAACACCCCTTCTTTTTCCTCAAAACCCCCATGGTTTTCTCTTCTGTCTCGGAGTTCCCTGATTTTACTTTGGGCGAACATGTCGTTTCTAGTAAGCCCGGCCAGTTCTCGTTTCCCAACCAAGGCTCCCCCACACACTCATCGGTCCTCGGGGATCACGTGTCGTATCTCCGGCGGTCCCTCCCCTTCCATGTACTCTGGCTTCCGGGAGAGAGCATCTGCTCTTACGTTTTCCTCTCCCGGCACATATCGAATCTCGAAGGAAAACTTGGAGAACTCCTGCGCCCATCTAATCTGTCTCTGGTTGAGTACTCGTGCGGTCCTCCAGTATTCCAAGTTCTTGTGATCAGTACAAACCTGGATCTTGTGCTGCGCCCCTATTAACAGATGTCTCCATTGGCGAAACGCCGCATAGATCGCAAGCAGTTCGCGGTCATACACCGTATAGTTTTGCTCCGACTTGCTCAGCTTCCTCGAGAAAAAGGCACACGGCTTCCATTCCTGCTTGCTCCTCCCTGGTTGCAAAAGTACCGCCCCAATGGCTCTGTCGGACGCGTCGGTCTCTAGCCTCATGGGTTTCTCCAGATCAACGTGTAGGAGCTGCTCTTCCAAAGCGAACGCCTTCTTCAGTCTTTCAAAGGATTGCTGGGCACTTTCTGTCCAGGCGAACTTCCTTTTGCTACTGAGACAATCTGTGATGGGCGCCGTTAAGTGGGCAAAGTTCTTGATGAACTTCCTGTAGAAGTTGCTGAACCCTAGGAACCTCTGCACATCCTTCCGGGTTTTGGGGGCTTTCCATTCCAGCACTGCCTGCACCTTGCTTGGGTCCATAGCCAATCCCTTCTCTGACAACTTGTACCCCAGAAACTCGACCTCTCTGGAGTGAAATTGGCATTTTTCCAGCTTGACCCACAACTGGTGCTTCTGCAGCCTCTCTAGCACTTCCCTGACGTCTTTGACATGTTGCTTCTCATTGTTTGAATAGAATAAGACGTCGTCCAAGAAGGCTACGCAGTTCTTGTACAGCAGGGGACCCAACACGTGGTGCATGAATGCTTGAAAGCAGGCTGAGCCCGATTGTAATCCAAATGGCATGACCAAGTACTCAAAAGCCCCCAGGGGGGTGAACATGGTGGTCTTCCATTCGTCCCCCTCCCTTACCCTGATCAAATTGTACGCTCCCCTGAGGTCCAGCTTGGTGAAAATTTTCCCCTGCCTCACCCGTGTTAAAATGTCGTCAATCCTGGTCATTGGGAAGGTCACGGGTTCAGATACCAAATTTAGGGCCCGGTAGTCCACGACCAGCCTGGGCTGGTTAGTCCCTTTTTTGTCCACAAAGAACACCGGACTGCCCCCCACCGCCTTTGATTCTCTTATGAACCCCCTCTTCAGGTTCTTGTCAATAAACTGCCATAACTCCTGCATCTCCCTGTCCGACATGGCATACAGCTTACCCACCGGCAGCTGAGCCCCTGGGATTAAGTTGATTTTGCAGTCAAAGGGCCTATGGGGGGGGGTAGTCTGTCCGCCTCCTTCTCGCTGAAGACTTCCTTTAGGTCAGCGTATGGTGGTGGCACCTCTCCCTTTGTTTCCACCGCCAGCCCAGCCACCCTAGCCACTGTCATTCTGGGGGT